CTTGCCGGCCGGGCGGCTGCGCCGCGCTCGCTCCTCCGCTGGGCCTATCGCGCGCCTCTCAACTGCTTTTCCGCATTCTCGTCGCGGGACCCGCGCAGGCAGGGCTGCCGGGGCTCAGAGGTGGGGCCTGGCCCGGGGGAACCCAGGAGAGCCGAAGCTCCCAAGTAGGGAGCAGCAGGCGCCGCCTTCGGCTTGCCGCCTCGAGCGCGGTCCTCTGGTCTGGCCTTCAGTGTCCTGCCTGCTCGCGGTCCAGTGTGGCCAGGCAGGTAGGCAGAGTTTTTCTAAAGTCCCTTCCTAGCAGGGGTCGTGTATGAATTTCTTCTCTTCGGGTCCCAAGAATGGGAAAAGTTTGGAAATATTCTCTGGCCACCAGAGTAGCGCAACTCCTCTACTTTGAAGCACAGAGAAAACTTGCACTCCTCTTGGTCTCCGACCTGGGCACCCGCTCCGTTTCCCATCCCAAAGCAAACACCAGGGAAGCAGCGAGGGTAATGAGCGCCCAGGCGAAATCTCTAAGTTGTGACCCCCCCCCCCACAATTTGAGCGCCCAGGGGCAATCTCTAACTTGTGCCCTCCCAATTCGAGTGTCCACAAGCAATCTCTAAATTGCGCCCTCCTCCCCCATTTCAAGATGAATAAACGTTGATAGCAGTGACATTTCAACAGAAACGCCTTACTCCCTCTTGTCCGGCTGCCTCAGTCAGGCGCCTTTCATATTTGTGGCTCCTAGGAATGTCATTCGGCCCCTCTTCTGGCACCTCCTTGGACTTGTGCCCTGGGCAAGTGCCCCTCTCTGCCCCTCCCCATGCGTCTGGACTCGCCTGGGGCTTTTAGGCAGGCGGGAGGAGGACGCCCAGAGCAGAGATTGAAGCAAAGCGGACTGAGAATCTGAGGAAGCCTTCGGCCCAGGGGCATCCCGGTCCCGCGGTCCTTCCGGCTTCCCGAGAGCACAACTCCCTCCTCACCTTGACCCCAGGGGCTGGGTACGAGTTCGCGGGTGGCTGCTCTGTGGGGACGCAGTACCAGGGTAGGGGATAGAAGGGTATGGCGAGACTACCTCTTTTCCTCCTTTAGGCCCCTTCCCAGTGCCAGAGCGGACACTCCTAAGCCGGGGGCCCCGGGCACACACCTAGCCGGGGTTAGGTGGTAGAGACAGCTCGTCTCCGGTTCCCTGTCAACCGCCCGGGATTTATAGCGCCCCCATCTTCCCCCGCTTTCATTATTTTCTTAATTACTCTGCTTTGGTCTTGGACACAACCCCACCGCGCCAGGAAAGACACCAGCCCAAGTAGCACCCGCACCGCTGGGTCTGAGAGGGTGCGAGAGTCCAGTGCAAAGCTGGAAGCCAGGCAGAAATCCCTCTGCGGAGGCAGAAAGCGCCTGTTCGTCATTTTCTGCACCCAAATCTCTCTTTCTCAACCTCACGCACAAGCACAATTCACTTAGCAAATAAAGAGATGAGAGTTCTTAACACGAATCTTGTAAATTATATGATATTCAAATTCAAATGACTTGAAATTCATTGTCCTCTGGAACAATGGTGACAAGGACTGAGCTAGGGAGCATTGAAGGAAACTAGAGTCCGAGAGGGCAGCCCAGGCGCCACCATTCGCCAAGTTTTCAGGGTCCTGCCAGTCTCACACCTCTCCAGAGAGGTTACCGGTGCGGGGATGCTTCCCTGTCTGGTGCGATGTAATTAATGAAAGTCCCCTTGGCCTATCCTGACTAAAATATCACCCTGCTTTGGATCACTGGACATTCCTAGAGGTAATCTAGCTCCTGTTTTAAAATGCAAATGTTAAGGAGTCTTACATGTTAGTCACTCACACCTCAGTGCGATTTACTCTAAGCAGCTAGCCTTCCCAACCTCTAAATTTAGGGGCCTCGCGGAAACTCACATTTTAATAGGAAAAATTGGAAACTGGAAGGGAATCAAAGGTTTTTTGGAGTCTGACCCAAATCTGGGAGGTGCTTATTTAAGGCGCCCCCGGAAGCCTCCATGGGAGGCCAGGAGTGGAAGGGGGCCAACGACTCCACATCCTCCAGAGGAAGTGGCTAGTGAGCCCCCAAGCCAGAGAGTCACTGTCCCCAAGGCTTAAGAAAGAAAACCTAGCTAAAATCCAAACAACCGTGCCCCTGTCGCCCCAGCGCCTCTCGCTGCCACCTGGGAAGATGTGCTGGTTGTCTCTGCGGTCCTAGGAAAAACTCAGCAGAGGATCGGGTGGGGAGGAGGACATGCATTTGAGTATTTTTTGTTTTCGTCCCCTTAAAGTAATAGCACCTGCAGACAAGAGATATGGGCCTTCCCCAGCTTTCCTGCTCCAGGGAGGCCCGGGCTGCTGGCAGGAGAAGCCCGCGACTCTACCGCTGCGCAGCGCGCAAGGAGCGCAGAGGGGTCCGCGGGATCGGCTCTTGCAGGGTCTCGGGTGTCCCCGGCGCCGCCTGCGTTTGGGTTCTGCGGGCGAGGCCTAGCGCGGGTCAGGGCAACTCTTAAATGCTCTCGGCTGCGCTGCGCTCACTTGTGGGAGAACCGACTCTCGTCGATTAGGGGCGGGCGGGGCGCTCCTCTCCCTGCAGGTTTGCTTTAATGATTTTCTTGAAAGAAAAAGACAGTTGTGTGCAAACAGGTTTGACAGGGGCTGCTTCCCCCTACGCCCCCCAGAGAACTTCTTTTTGTCTGCTCCTGACTTGAAAGTCAGTAATCGTCCCCTGTCAGCCGCGTGACAGGAGGATTTTGACTGTTAGGGCGAGTCGCGGCGGCGCAAGACAGCAGAGGCTGTGCGGCCCGCGGGGCCAGGGAGGCGAGGCGGAGAAGGGCCACTGCGGGGGCTGCGGCTGGAGGCAGGTCTAAGGAGGGTAGGCAGCTGGAGAAAGCCGTCTGGGAAGGGAGAAGGCGGGGTGTGACGGAGAGGAACGGCCTCAGCTAGGTCTGCGGCTTCCGGTCCCGGGACCCGCGCCGGGCCGCCCGCCTACCGCGGGCTGAAGGCGGTTTCAGTCATCTGGCAGTGGGCGCTCGAGAGCCTCCCCTTTACAGCACAACCCAGTTTCCTGGAGCTGTCCTCCGGAGTCGCCAGGCGCAATCTGGGACCCTGACTACAGTTTACAGTTTCTGCCACCGCCCAAGGCCTTGCCCACTCGGACTGGCCTGGCGCCCCGTCCCAACTAACCCGGCTTCAGAGTCGGCTGGTCACCCTGATGGAGCTGTGCGCGCGGGGTTTCTCCTCAGGCTAGGGTGCTGTGTGCATCCAGGGCTCTCTTGCGCCAGGCTCTGCGGGGAGATACCAAACCCCTGTAAGCTTCATCTAGTAGATGTTAAGGGACACTGAGCTATGAGAGAGATCAGAGTGGCTGACAGGACTGTCAGTTGGGGTTATATCAGACAGCGAAACAGAGGCGCCTCAGCCCCAGGTCTCCTGGGCTTCCCACGGGGCAGGAGGAGGGGCCTTCCCTACGCGCCCCGGAGCCCCAGACAGAACGGCCACCAGAGGCAAGTCACTTCCTAATTGTCTAGATTTGTAAGAGGGTTTTGTGATGCTAAGTAAGCGTGGCGCAGCCCGCTCGGCCTCGCTCCACACCTCCCCCAGTCCGCCTTTGTTTACTTTCGCCAGATCGTTCATTTATTTATGTATCTATTATTTATAGGCGTCCTCTCCTATTCAGCGCCCATGTATGTTAATTGTGTTATACCATTTAATTCTAACATCGGTCTCAAAAGAGCTCTTAATGAGAAAAGCATATACAACATGGGTCACTTTGCTATTCAGCTTGGCCAGATGGACAACTGCTAACTTTATTTTTTTGATAATGAAAATTCCCCCTTGAGAAACGGGTTCTGATGAATAGGCTCCAAATAGCGCCTAAAACATTCCTGTTTTGAAGACAAAATGCTAATCCGCGGGTTCCGGTTTTAAGGTCTGTTAACATTTCCGGTGCACCTCCAGCCACCTACTCCTTTGGAAATGGCAGAGGCAAGCGCACTAATCCCTCAACAGCAGCAGAAAGCAGACAGGCCCCTGGATTGTCCCCCACCGCCACCCCCACCCCCACCCCCGCACTGGCACCATGGTAAAGCAAGTGGAAAAAGCACGAGACCTCGGAGAAAACAAGCGTGAGAACGGCTTTGAGGGAGTATGGGGAGGCGGGACGTGTGGACCAGATGAGCACCCTTCGATTTTGAGAACAAGTTCAAAAGACTTGTGCTGGATGGCATCACAGGTCCCTTCTCCCCACGAAAAACAGCAGTCTTCAAGCAACACTCATCCCAGTAGGGAAAGAAAAGGACTCTTTACCTTGTTAAATACTAAGGGCTACGGGTTTTAATTTTTAAGATCCTTTTAACTCCTTGCCCGAGACATGACACTATCATCTTCCTCCCGCCTTTGTTCCAGCAGGATCTTAGTAAAAAGTCTCCTACATACTGGGGGTGGGACCGCAGGATACGGTTTTCTGCGTCTCCAAGAATTTTATTTTGTTTTTTTAACTTAGGACAGCAGCAGCGTTTCTAAACTTCTGAGAAAAATCGGTTCCACCGGTCGTCTCCTTCAGCGCTGAACGTAAACACCCTTAGCAAGACCCGGAGTTCAGCGCGCAAGTGGTTCTCGGTGCGTCTCCCCATTCTTTTGAAGTTTGGTTTAAAATAAGAAAATGCGCCGGAATCTCACAATTCTCGGTCGTTTTTGTCTCAGTTCATTGGTTCCTTGAAGTGTTCCTCACTTTGTGAGGAACGCGCGGAAGGAGTGATGCCCCAGGGACTGAGACCTTTGTCCGGTCTCTAAAGGCAAAAAGCGGGTCAGGAGGGGGCGGTCGGGAAAGACCCTGAGCTCCTCTGCACCTGGCCCACAGGCCACCATAGCAGGTCCAGGCGGGCCAGCCGCCAGCCTCCAGTGCTAGTGCTGCTGTATGCACTCTCAGGCTCCCCGAGACCCCACTCCCCTGCGCCGCCAATCTGGCCTCCTGACTTCAGATTTTACGCACATCAAAGGTTACTTTTTGTGATGACAGATTGTCTTTATTCAAAACGTCTTTGTTCAACAAATGAACAGAGTAACGAGGTAAAATCCTTCTAAACACATTTCCAAGACATCGTTAAAACATTTATGACCATTTAAGATGTTTTTATTCTTTTAGTTCTTTGTTCCCTTTCTACTTCCTGACTTCATAACCCGACATTCTGCCTAAAAGTAAACTTACGTCTCTAGGAGCACTGCTTTACACAAAGTAAATGACCATGTGGGTCCTTTGAGTTTTCCCTTTAAAGAAGCAAATACTACCATAGCATGGTTTTAAATAGAAATGTTTCCCTTTCTGTAGTTTTAAAGTTTTAAGCCTTACCCCCCCCCCCACACACAAATAAAAAGCAAATGTCGCCTAGTTGTGTCTGATAGCAAAACACAGAGACACAGCTAACTCTTTTCTTCTGGGTGCAAAAGGAAAAATATATATGCATATTCTAGATGTAATACCAGGATCTGGGAATTCGGAGTCCAAAGCCCATCCGAGGAAAGAAAGGGACATAAATAAAGCAAAACTGCCTACTTTTTTGTCCAAAGGGGATACAGTCAAAGGTTTGTTTTGGGACAGTCGGGATGGGGCAGCTGTGTAGCTGTCATAACGTTTGCAAGTTTCTGGCACCTGTCTGCGCCCTGAGTCCGGGAGAGTGCCCTTCCCTTCTCCCCCTGGAAGAGAGAGGCAGAGTCTGGGGTGGAGTATAGGGCGGTGGCAGGGCTGACCCCTTTGAGGCGTCTGCGGGCACGGGCTAGGCGCAAAGGAAAGGGTGCAGACCCCGCTTCCAGGCCGCCCTTCAGGTCAGGCGGGCGGGCCAGAGGTTACATGGCTGTGGCGTGGGCTGAGGAGTAAGGGTCTATGCCAGTCTTGGTCATACCTGGGAAGAGAATGTACGCAACGGGGGGCTGCAAGGTAGAGGCAGACCAGGCGGTACAGTTACAGGGCACCACGAAGCCGGGGTTGGTGGGGGACGGGTGCGTGTGCGTGTGCTGACTGGGGCAGCTGAGGCTGCCGAAGGCGCCGTTCTGGTAGCCCAGGGTGGACGCGTAGGGCAGCGCGCCGGTGGCCAAGGTGTGGGGCACTTCACCCATCTTCTGAATGGCACTCGAGCTAAACTGCGCAGGGTCCATCAGGGAGTAGGGTGCTGAGGCGGGCGGCAAGAAGGCCCGGGCTTTCTCGGGCGCGCTCAGAAGGCCGTCGGAGGCCCCCACCGGCAGGCCGGCCGCCTTGAGCGGGTCCGTGTCGCCCAGGTAGGGCAGGGGGAAGACATACCTGTCCTTCTTGAGTAGATTCTTGGGCTTGCGCCGCGGCCGGTACTTGTAGTCTGGGTGCTCCTTCATATGCTGGGCGCGCAGCCGCTTGGCCTCGTCGATGTACGGCCGCTTCTCTGCCTCGGACAGAAGCTTCCATTCGGCGCCTAGGCGTTTGCTGATCTCCGAGTTGTGCATCTTCGGGTTTTCCTGGGCCATCTTGCGCCGCTGGCCCCGGGACCATACCATGAAGGCGTTCATGGGCCGCTTGATGTGGTCCGAAGGTTTGGACATGGTCCCGGCGGCTGGGCGGGCGGGGACGGTGGCTGCCAGGGATTCGCGGCGAGCCTGGGCGCTGTTGTCGGTCTGTCTTTTCGTCCTGAGCCGGGACTCTGCTCTCCTCTGGCCTCAGCACCCCTGGAGGGAAGCCAGGGAGAAGCGCTGACCCTGCAAAGTTCAACCTATCATGCCAGTCCTGGCGCCCAGGCAACCCCGGGGGGACGAAGGGGAGCAGGACGGGCGGGAGAGGAGAGTGCGGATGGCTGGGGGGCTGCGGGCAACAGAGGTAGGGGCTCAAGTACTGGAGTCTCAGATATTAAGCGACCAGGTAGTTTGCTGGCAAGGGCAGGAAGCTCCTCCTTCTTCCCCTCTCCACCTTAGCCTTCTCTCCTCAAGCGTCTCCGGAGCCCTGGCTCCCCTCCACCTTCCCTCCCGTAGCTTTCTCGGAGCTGCCTCGTTTAGCACTCCACCTGGCTGAGAATGCGGGGAGGCTAGTGAACAACAGCCAAAAGCGGCGAAGTTCAAAGGCGAGGTGGGCTGGGACCGCACGCACTCTGACATAAACGCTGGGCGGTGACTCCCCAACCTGGACGCCCAATCAGCGTCAGAAAAGGAGAGGGGGGCGCACCTGCCAATGAGCCCGCGGAGCAGAGAGTGAGCACGACTGGGTGATGGTGAGGGGGTATGAAGGAGAGAGAGAAAGGCAAAGAAGGAGGGAGAGAACACAGCGTCCAGCCCAGGACTGAGGACTTGGGTTCCACATTATCCCTGGCACAATCAACAAATAAAACTCTTTGCGCCTCCAGCTTCCTTTTCCACTTGCGCCAGGGACAATTGGGGCGTCGAATACAAAGCCTCGGGGAGTGGGACTGAAAAGGGAGCAAGCCGAGAACACGTGTCGAAATAGGGCAGTCTCTCCACGAAATGCGAGGACAGCGCCCCCCCCCCCAACCCCGCCGTAGTCAAAGATCCTTGTAAGAGAAAAAGAATACATCAAACTCAGGGCAAAAAGCAAAATTAACTTTTCGCGCCAGACCCTCGGTGGTGCGTAGGCCGCACTCTCCCAGTACGCTCGGACCGCCCAGCGTCCCTCCACCCCTGCTCTTGGAGACCGCGCAGCAGAAGCTCTGGGTCCCTCAGGCGAGCTCTCCGAGCCGACGCCGTAGGGCTTGCAGCCGGCAGTGCAGAGGTTTCAAACCCTGGTTGGTGAGCCCAGGAGACCACCGCGACCCGCTCTTCACTTTCGGGGAGGGGGCAAGTACTTCCGTCACGATTCCTATTTATGTTACTATTATTTAGTGTTTCTAACCTCCAACTTTTCCTCCACAACTGCCCAAACTGGAAGGGCAGCCTGGAGGCCGGTCCGCACGAGGCAGGGCCTGGGGGCCTTCTCAGTGCCCCTCCTGCAGCGGTCCTTGCGTAGTCTCAAGCTGTATTAGCACCCAGAGTCGGTTTGTTCCTGGGCGCCTCTTTCGACATAGCGAGGCTGAGAAAGCTCGTTTCTCGAGTCAGATGAGTATTCTTCCGGTAAAGAGGATGAAATAACCAGCAGAGCCAACTTGCCCGCCTGTTTCCTTTGAATAATTGCCTGCCCGATGTGAAATGCCTTTGGGGGAAATATTTATTAAATGGAAACTATTGTCCCATGCCCGGTGGGACCTGCGTGTATTGCAGGCTTATTGGCTTTTGCACCAGCCTCTCTGGAGGACCAGAAGCGCGCGCCGCTCAGCCAGCCCGGAGGGGGGTGGTTAGGGGAAGCAGGTAGGGAACTAGGAAGCAGATCTTTCTTTAGCCTGTAGTGTATCAAGTTTGAGACGAAGATTTTGCTTCTTCTTTACAATTAGAAAGGCGCGTAGAATTTCTTACCCTTAGTGTGCTCTTCACAGAGGAGGACACTATTCCCATTAGACAGATTAGGAAGCTGAGGTTGGGAAAGGCTAAGTGACTTGTCAAAAGTGACTCCAGTGGGAAGTGGTGACTCCGGGATTCCAAACCAGGTATACAGGATTTGAAAACCCTTCATTCCCCCCCCCCCCCACGCTGCAGCACGTCAGAGGATTTGATGGTGCTGGAGACAAATGCTGAACCCTCCACCTGACTACCAGAGTCACCAAAACCCGTCATGCAGATAAACCACACTGGAAGACTGATCCTCATGCCTGCTCTTGATTCTCGCAGCTTGGGGTCCAAGACTCGGCTTCCGCTGAGCAAACATCCCCGCCAAAAGGGCCACCTCCGCCTTGCTAGCGAGCAGGTGCACAACCATTACTTTCCTTCTCAGCCCCAGCCCTGGCCTCCCTCAGGAGCCTTAGTTCTGCCTTTTACCCTTGTTTTCTCTGTAGGAAGTTTTATTTGGCTTCGGGTCCCTGTAAGTAGACGCTTTTTTCAGATTAATCCCTGGAGGATTTCTGAGAGTCGCAGGCAACCCCTAGTCACATCCGACCAGCCCTGCTCTGCACTCAACCTGTCAGATGCTGGAGGTCCAGGGGCCACGCGATTCGAGTTCCACCTGGAGATCCCGGAGGCTTTGGGAAGCAAGGAGAAAAATGCGCATATTTGCAGAGGTTTATCTTCTGCAGGGACCCACTAATCTCTCACTCTGGAACCCTCGGGAACACCAAACCTACACCTAGAGGTTTGGGTTAATGCAAACCAACGCCTTGGAAGCAGCACAAGGAGGGGATCTGGCATAGGGTCCCAGACTCTTTCACTTCTCTTAGTCTCCAGGCAAACCCATTCCGGGTTCCCCGGAGGTCGGGTCCTCCTTCAGTTCCTTACGTTTCCTCCCTCTCCTCGTCCCAGGTTCCTCTCATAGCCTCTCAGGCTCAGCCCCAGGTCTTGATTCAAAAATTGTACTGAAGGGCGCGCGACAGTGGGGTGACAGTTTGTGGGAAAGAAACCACCTGATTTCCCGATGTTCCGGAGCCCCAGGCTGCCTGGAGAACGTACTGACCCTGATGGGGGCTGGTGTCCCCGCTGCGCTTCTTGGTCTTGAGGCAAGAACTCCAAGCTGGGAAGGAAAGCTGGAAGGACTACGCTTTTAGAGCCTGTATTCCCTTGTCTCCTAAGCAAACCGCGCAGTTGCGTGCACCCCTTACGCAGCGCCGGTGGCCACCGGTGTATCTAAGTCTCCTTAGAGTTGGGCCCGACGCGGAGTTCCCAGGCTCCCGGGGCTTGGCCTGGTGCTGTCTCCAACCTGTGTCCTGACTGCGTTATACTGTCCCTCCGAACTTTACCGCCACACCAAGCCAAAACTACGGTGGCAGCACGTCCGGGAAAGGTGGCCCCTCGGGACAACCAGCAGCTTCGGTCACCACTGGAAGAGGCCTTAGGACAGAGATCGCCTAAACGCGTCTCCTGCTTTGTCCGCAGCCTGAAGCTCGGGCCCAAGGCCTTCAGGCCACTTGCCAGGGCTGGAGACGTCCCCAAGACAAGGCCTACCCGCGTCTACATTTGCCTGGATAATCCGCTCAAACACCCAGTATGCGCTTCTTTACGCAGCGCAGTTGCTCAACGCACTTGGAACGCCAGCCTCACCTACGGGTCCCCGCCTCTGTGCATCAGAGATTCTGCCAGCGAACCGTCACTGTTCTGGTAGTAGTGGAAGAAGAGACCTCCGAGGTCAAGACTCTATCTGCTTCTCCCTCCTGCCCCCTCCCCCGCGGTCCAGCAGGGTCCAGGATGTGCCTTCTTTGGACTCTTGGTCTTTGCATGTGTGCCTTTTTCCCCCTCCTTTTGCCTACTCCTGTTCGTCCCTCAAGCCCCAGTGGAAGGCGTCACTTCCTCCGAGGAGCCGTCTTTGATTCCTGGGATGTGCCAGGACCCCTTCTACGTTGTCCCTCTCACACCCTCTCCTTCTCATGCCTTCTTCCCAGCCTCGCGAAGGGCCCTGTCGCTGCCAGTGCAGTCCATCAGACTTCGAGCTCTTCGAGGGCGCAGGCTGCGTGTTACTCATCTTTTGGTGCCCAATGTTCGCACAGCTCCAGGCACAGAGATGCTCAATAAAGTTTCCTTCTGCCTCAGGCTCAGGTAAGCTCTTCTGTCAGGCCTTTTCCCGCGTTTCTGCTGCGGAGACAACACCCCAAACGTAGAGCAGAGTGGCAGAGTCCCGGGCCCTCAGGCCAGCACCCACCTACCTGGCCTCAACGCTCCGTCCCTCCTTCCAGGTATCACCTCTCCTCTCAGGTGAGAGAGGCCTACGCTCCCAGACCTCAGGGATTGAGCGATGGCCCAGGGCGGAGAGGAAAAGTGCTCAGACCACGGCTCAGAGAGCGCAGTAGTGGTGGTTGGGTGGGGGTGAAGGGAGCTTGCCACGCTTCTCGAGCCGCTTGGGGTTTCCGAGGACGCGAAGAGAGTCACTTGTGTCCAGAGGGGCCGAGGTGCTGGGCAAGCCGCTTACCGTGGCCCCTCAGCGCTCAGAGAGAGGGGTTGAACAAAGTGCCGGGTGCGGATTCCTGAAAGCTTCCGCCCAGCACCGGCTGCCAAAGTAAGAGAGCACGAGCGCGCAGAGCACTCAAAGCTTTAGCGACGCGAGCGTTAATCCGACCCATCCCAACAACAACCCAGAAGCTAACATTGATGGTAATAACTTGATCTTGGGAAATCATGCACTTTGGTTAAAGCATAAACTTTTAATTTTCTTATTACTAAAAATATTTTTAACATTTAACACCCCGGCTTTGTTTTTCCTGTTTATTTTTACGTTTAGAGACCTTCTATGTCCCATCTCTCAAGAGTGCCGGAGAGGAACCAGGGCTCCGATCCTTTTAAGACATTTCCTGATAATCGTTCAGGGGTCGTCCCTCCAGAACCCAGCCTTGCCCAGCCCGTTCGAGAGTCTTGTAATTTTGCAAAACTCCACTTGTCGCTCGCGACTAACATGGCACAGGAGAGCACGGCTTCTGCCAAGAAAGGGAAACCAAAGAAAACCGGGTACCAGAACAGACTGGAGACGCGACAGCGCGCGTTTGTCGACTGCTCTGCTAAAGGACCCTTGTCTCTACACCTCGAGGGCTCCAAGGTACGAAGACTTTTTGATACTTCTAATTGCGTTAATAGGGTCGCTATGAGTTGACAATGGGTTTTGGTAACTTGAGTAGCCGGCGTCGGTTTGAAGCAGACATCACGTGAGTCGTGGACTGTGAACGTTTAATAGAGGAGTGCATCACATCTGCACACATTCTCCAGAAAACGGAGGAAGCAGATGCAGAAGAGTACGACTTTGAAATCTTTTTATTCATTATTCATTATGTACCATACCATACCAGGTGCCACAGAGTCCATTCCCACTCATGCCGACCTCACTCATGTAGAGTCCCTTTGTGGCACAAATAGTTAAGAACTTGGCTGCTAACCTGAAGTTCGAGTACACCCAGGGGTGCCTTGGAAGAAAGGCCTGGTGCTCTACTTCTAAAAAATCAGCTACTGAAAACCCTATGGAGGACAGTTATGCTCTGAGCTCCATTCATTCCTTAAGACAGCAGACATTTATTGAGTACC